AAGAGAGAGGGAGAGAGTTGGTGAGGCAAGAAAATGCAGAACCAGAACCTGTGGGAGCGGCTTTAAGCCTATGAAGCTGTTTCTCTGCACCTAGGTAGTTTAGAGATTTTTTTTCTTCTCATTCCTATTCTCAGCACAATTTAGGCGAAGAATGACATGACGACTTGAAAGGGAGGAATCTCTATCTACATGCATCAGAAGGTATGCAGTTCAACTGTGACATCTAAGCAGAATAAAGCAGAACACGCAAGACACAAGCAAATCAAGAAGAGGCAAAATCTATTCTCGTTGAAAACACAATTAAAAGAAAAAGAAAAAGCATTCGCAGGGAAGCTAAATGCTCAATATGCAAACGCACACACATGATATAACACAATCTCTCTTCAGACTTGTTAATAGCAGTCAATATAGGTAAAAGACCATCCAGTCACAGGGGGCTAAACTGGAAGATAAAATTAGGTAGACATGCTAGATTAGTCCGGACAGGCCCTTGTAGGGATGTCTGCCCCTGTTCTGCCACTTATATATCATTCCAATTCTCTTATTCTACTTAATGCTAAAGAGACAGAAAAGAAAGGGGCCACAGGACAGGACTAACGATGCTTGATTACTAGATTTCTGCATACTTTTAGTGGTTCAAATTAACGCAGTCGCTTCTTGATTTATACACACAAAACATTTTCAAAGATGCAATAACTTCTTTATTGCTTCCTAGTACTAGTGTGTCACCCTAATCAAATAAACATAACACATAATTTCCCATTGTTGACCTGAGTCTTCAAAAACTAGTTTGTCAGAGCTGAACTAGTCCATTATACTATCCCAGTATCTCATTAAAAGATAACCCCATATTGCAGGATATCCCTTGATGCAATCCAAACCTAAATAACCAAAAAGTTACAATGGACCTTCCAACAAGAAGTAGAAGAAGATAGATAAGCCACCACCAATTTATTAGAATCAAGGAGAATGCACCAAACCTCAGGACAGAACCAAAATTCAAGTATAATGTAAATACTCGACAGTTTTAAGAGTTCATGTCCTCTTTTCTCAACTTGACAAGTCAAATCCCCATCAATTTAGCATCCTAGATATACAGCTACACCAACATTCAGACTTGTCCAATTTAGAGAAATTTAGGCTAAGATTTTCAGACATTAAAGATCCTCAGCATCAGCACTAAAAGGATGACCAGAAACATAAACAATGCAATTCAGCAAAGAAAAAGGCAAAGGTAAAGAAAATCTAAAATATTGACAGGAAACGTAAGAAAATTAGACACTAAAGCAGAGCAGATCAAAACCCAGCAATCTAACTAAAGCAGCTAGAATAGTATAAAAATTGACAGGAAATATAAGAAAAATTGGACTTTAAAACAGAGCAGATTCAGATCCAATTTGATTGCTGAAGAAATATTGGCGGGAAATGTTAGGGAAGTTGGACGGCAAAGCAGAGCAGATCCAAAACCCAGCAATCAAATTAAAGCACCTAGAATATTTTAATCTTGTTTCCTTGCTTATGACTTAATACTCGTATGCCAATAACAAACTATAAACAAAAAGATAACCAATCATATGATCCATTTCTCTGTTTTTTTTTCCAACTTACTTTTGGATAAAACCAAGCATACTATTGGCCATATAACTGTTTCAAAACATCAAATACTACCGGCAAAAGAATCCACATGACAGCCACACAAAGATATCAAGAACCATATTCAGGATTACTTCTTCACTTCTACCAGTTCTAATGATTATCAACATGATTCTACCAGTTACAAAACTTTACTGGCCATTTAGTACACCATCATGTCCAAGGCTCCCAGCTAGCAAAACAGTGCATATAAACAGAGTTCAAAATCCCCAACTCATCTCTCATCAATTCCTAAGCTTTTCACATCCTAAATCAGCCCAAGGATTCACAGCAACAAAAATATCATCATCTCCAGCACAAAACTCCAATTCCTCCTCATTACAGCCTTCCGTTACCCCTCCACTTGTATTTGCATTTGCTTCATTCCCTGGACTTGTATTCGCATTTGCTTCGTTCCCTCCAGCTTTAAATCCTATTCCTTCACCACCCTCCGCTGATAAACTATGGTTCCCAACAACTCTAATCCCTTTTCCCATCAATTTCTTCTTCCCTATAGCAGCCATTTTTTTCCTCTTCATCACCACCTTCCCATTATTAACACCGTTTCCCTGTCCCCCTCTTTCAATTTTCTCTCTACCTGCAGTTTCATCATCGGAAATTTCAATAAACCCATTACTCTTTTCACTCTTTGAGTCCACATTAGTCCTCACATCCACCTTTTCCTCATTGGCCCGAACTGGACCCGGATATTGACCCATGGATACAAATGGAGCCCACCAACTTTTCCCTCTCTCTTCACCAGAGTCACCACCACTTCCATTGTTAGGACCCAGCGGCGAAAACCCATAACAGGTGTACTTTCCTTCCTCCACCAACTCCGGTGGCGGCGCGGCTGAAGCAGCAACCGCCACCGCCGTGAAAGCCCTCCTGCATTTGGAATTCTGACACCTCAGGACACAATCCACATACATTTTCTCGTACTCATACATAAAGTAACAGTACGGACACAAAGTCCAAAAAGTTCCGCCGCCATTTCCACTATTTTTTTGCGTCATTTTCAATCCGTTATCATACTGGGCTTTCGCGTCCGGGTCAAACAAAACAGATTCTGCTTTGACAACCCAATCACGGGCTTCGGCTGCAAATGGGTAAGGGTTTGTGTCAGGGTTTAAGAGGTTGACGAGCGAAGCACAACGGGTCCGAATCAGATTCTGGTCTTGAGTAAAACGAGGGAGGTTGATGATTAAGTACCATTCTGGCTGTTCGGGTCGGGTCGAGGACGGAGTGGCCGAGAGAACAGTGGATATAGCGAGGATTTGGGGCGGACCAGGGTGGTTTGGATTGGATTGTTGGGCTTTGTCCGCGTATTTCAAGCTCTGGGAAAAGCTCCGGTGACAGAGGAAGTATTTGGAGGCGTTCAGTAATGGCTGTATGTCGGGTTCGAGTCCGGGTCCTGGGGGTTTATCCTGGCCGCCCATCTCTCGCGTCGGTCTGGAGAATTGAGAGACGCCGGATGCTTGGAGGGAAAGAAAGGAACTTTACTGCTGTGCACGGTGACGAGGAGTCTCTATGAGTCAAAGCCCAGAGGCTTTTCCAATCTCTCTTTAATTTCCACTCCCAAGTTCCACACATTTCCTTTCAAACATAGGTGTTCGTGTTTTTTATTTGTTAAAAAAAAAAAAAATTTAGAGGGATTCGGATTCGATTTCGGGGCATACCTCTAGGATCATATATAGATTTATAGTCATCAACACAGCAGCTCTGACATCGTTTAAAACATGATGGTTTTTGTTTTATTTATTTATTTTTTGGTAAAAAAATGTTTTAGACGGATTCGGATTCGATTTCGGTTACTCTTACTAGTCAAACATACCTCTTGGACTATAGGTGAATTTATACAGATTACTCACCGACGTAACTCTGACATCAGTACCAGCAGTTACAGAATTGTTCAGTAAGGATACAGATCGCTCATCAACAAAATTCTAACATCGGCACCAGCAATTACAGATCATCCAGTGAGGATACAAAATTTGACATCAGTAACAGTAGTTACAAATTATCCAGCTAGGACACACATCACTCACCAACACGTTTTTGACATAGGCAACGGTTACAAATCGTCCATCAATGACACGTGACTTTTTTATAGGAAAGTGGCTCGTCGTTGCCAACTTCTATTAGCATAAGGTGTTTGTATAGCTCATCACTTAGAAAAAAAAAATTATTACAACATTATAGATGTATGTAATTATGTGAAATAAAAAGATAATTTAAATTTTAAAATATAATTAAGAGATATATTTATAACGTAAGTAAAATATTTTTTTCAATGAATTAGGTATCGAAATATCCTTCTAGAGTACATATAAAACTAGTAATCTGACCCGTGTTATGCACAGTTTATATCTAAGATGACGATGATGATGATGATAATAATAAATGAATTATTTATAATAGTTACATTTAAAAAAGATTAGAAACTCAAAAGAGCACTATTATCTAATTTATATCTTATCTAGACCTTAAAGCATATAAAAAAAATATGAAAAAAGATAAAAAAAAAAAAAAAAGCACACTGTAGTGGGTGCAATCCACATGTGACACTCTGGCACACGCGAGGTCGGCAATAGAGGTCTCCCATCTCGGACGCCTCAGTTCGGTTTAGAGAGAGGTCAGCCCGGCCACTGCTGCCGCCTCTCCCTAGAGTGGGTCTAGTGGGCCGCCGCCTCCGAACCTTTAGGGATTGTCATACGAAACCCTAAAAGGACTCCGAACCCTAAGGGGACTCCTACTCCTATAGGAAACTACTACCCTGAAACCTATAAATATGGCACCACACGACAATACAAGGTACGCCATCCACAGTACTCTTTACTGTTGTCCTACTTTTAAACTCTACTGATTTGATCGTCGGAGCTATTCCGGAGACTCTAGTCCCGCCTTCGTTCTTTCTTCGCATAATATTCAGCTCGGCATTCCCCTCTCAGCTAGGCAGCTCCCAACCAGCTCGATCTGCAGCAACTCAGCTCAGACTGTGTTCTTGGGAAACACGTAGTTCTTTTCTTGCGAATCATGCCAAGAACTAGATTTCAGATGAACGCTGACGGATCTAAGGAGAACCAGAAAAGTGGCCCCTAAAACCCCACTCGGGGTTCGACTCCTAGAGATGAGGGAACGGGACCGTCACAAATCCTACCTGAACAGTTAGTTCAAACGGTGGCGAAAAATCTACCTACTTTCGAGGCAATCATGGACTACCTCAAAGGGCGGACGGGAGGTCATCATGACCAGGAGCCTAAGGTCCAAGGGGTGGAAGGAGTTGGCCTGACAGAATCCCGAACAGGGAACCCAACCCCCGGCCCAAGCGGATGCGCCAGGAGCTCACGTGTGAATAGATCGAAGTTATGGAGTCATCCCACAAGCACTACCGAACCAAGCATCCGAAGCCCTTCCGGAGGTACTCCAGGGGAGAGCTCTCCCCGCGAAGAGAGCAGCACCAGGTGCAGAACAAGTTGGACTTGCTGTTGGATCCTGAGGCAGATAGGTATATTGCTTCCTCCTTTGTACCTGATATTGAGGACTACCCGTTGCCCGCGAAATTCAAAATACCGAGCACGAAATCTTATGATGCAACCACGGATCCGGAGGATTACCTGTTCGCCTTCATGAGGCAAATGCGCTTGCAAATGGCCGCGGATGCGGTCAGGTGCAAGACTTTTCCAATGTTCCTGGAGGGAAAGGCACGTCAATGGTTCCAGGGGCTTCCCCCCAGGTCTATCCGATCCTTCGCCCAACTCGCACGATTATTCTCAGCACAGTTCGTTTCGTCGCGAGCCTTCTCCAAAAGCACTGCTCACCTGATGACCATCCAGCAGAAACCTGAAGAATCCTTGCGCGAGTTCATGGTACGTTTCAATAATGAGTCCCTCCAGATCCGCGATCAGGATGACAAGGTGGTCATGGCCGCATTCATCAACGGGCTGCGAAAACAGAAGCTCTACACCAAGCTCGTGGAAAGACCTCCCAAGTCAGTGCGCGAGATGCTGGACCGAGCTCATGAAAAAGCCAACACGGAGGAGGCCAATCGCCTGAAAAGCGCGCAGGAAAAGTTAAGGGATGATAAGCGCAGAAGGAACACTGACCAGATGGACGCGCGACACAGCCAGGAACGGAAGAACGCCTACGATCGCCTGCCCAGGAGTCGCCCCATGGGAGGAGATAAGTTCTGGACTGCCCTTACTGCACCTCGAACTCGGGTACTCGCTGTGATGAAACAAGAAGAACTCTCTCGACCTCCCCGACCCTTGATCGGGGACAAGAGCAGGCGGGATCAGGGTTTGTATTGTGCGTATCACCGAGATGTGGGACACGATACGGAGGATTGTCGCCACCTCAAAAAAGACATTAAAAAGTTGATCAGACTGGGCCACCTCGGGTAGTTCATACGTAATGAGCGAACTGACCAGCGACGGGGAAGGCCCAAACCAGAGCACCTGAGCTACTCCCGTGACGGATCTCAGGGGCCCCGTGGCCGAACTCTCGAGCAGGAGGGTCAGAATCTGGCCGGGGTGATCAATACTATTGCGGGAGAACCGGTTGGAGGGGATAGCCATACAGCTCAGCGTCACAACCGCCCTCCTCCCAATGGGGAGAGTTCAAGCAAACGATTAAAGATGTACGAGAAAATCATTTATGGACCTGAAGATGCAGTCCCTCTGGCCTCTAATAACCACGAAACCATCGTGATAGAGGTCATTACCTGTGTAACAGCCCCACCTTCCCCTAAGGCGAACCAAAGGGGTTAGCGGACTGCCTGCCCAACTCTCGCCAGGACTAACGGATCAGTTTACGTCGATCTAATACGTTCCGGAACTTACCAATGCGCGCAACCAAGTCAAAATCACAAAATAAAAAAAATGAAAAAAATCGAAACCGATGATGAACTGTACCGGCCACGTCCGACTCCGGATACTAGGCCGAGAGTAGCCAAATTTTTCTTTTGCCGTTTGAAATACGAGTTGATCCGAAATCCAACCAAATATCAACCAAACATACATACATTGAAATGTAACATTTACAAACCAAAGCGGCATATCAAAACGATTCATCATGGATATACATGTTCGGTTTGCCAATCAAAAGAGAATGAACCCAATGCACATTAGGGTTTCATTCAAAGAGCTATTCAAAAGACATTTACATAAGCTCAACTTGACAACCAACTAACACAACCTTTTCCAAAAGTGGTCATTTCCTATAAGAAAAACAAATGGAACGGAATGAGCTTAAATTCAGTGAGTTACTACCACATAAGCAACAAAGAGCATATAGCATAACCTTTCATTTCAAGTACACAATTACAGAGTAAAACAAGTCGGTAAAAGGATACGGACGGCTCTCAAGAGCCCATTTCCACGCTTACATTCTTGATCCAATCTCATTGATTCTCCGTCAACGTTTAAGAGTACCAACCGTAGAACCCACTTCACTCCCATCCCTTCCACCAAACATACCCCAACCAGGCCCGCACTCCAATCAGTAGCTTTTGGTAATACTCGAGTTTACCGAAATCAAGAGTTTCAATACTACAAGATTCCCCAATACAGTCCCCGTGGCATGTCAATTTTCACGACCAAGCCCTCGCCGGCTCGATTCAATTGACTACCAACGAGGTTGAGGTCAGTAGTACAGTAAGGCCGTTGGATACTCGTCCAAACGACATCAAATCAGTTTTTCATGAAGTGAATTCAATATCTCATATAGCAAGTGCAGTATATCAGTGAAGCGGTAAACAGTCATTAACGGTATCACAAGGGATGAGGACGGTCAAGTACACCCTCACCTCAATCAATTCCAATAGCCAAATAAGCTTTCAAGGCATCAAAATCACATATAGCAAAGCCACATTGTAACATTCAAGTGAGTAGTATACTCACTTATCAATTAAGTGTTGTTTCATGCACTTCCGTCAAGAGAATGTCGTGAACCACCGTCACGCCCTAGAACACGTAAACAAGTACAATGAGACTCGATAACGAGTCATAAAGCAATGCCAATCACAACCCCAATAGGGTTTCATATGCATATACAAGTATCATAGGTAACCAGAAAATCCGGAAATGCAATTAACTTTGGTCCTGAAAAAAAAATAGTTTTTATCCTCATTTTGCGGTAATGGTACCAATTTCACTACGATTATCAGATGAGGGTGTAAGATCCACCGTTTTGAAGCTAAGAACCAGGGCTACAACAATGTAGAAGGTCACTCAGTCCAATTCCTATCACAACCAGGTCAAATATGCAAGATACCAAACCAGAACCTTAATTGCAGGTTTACAAATTACACTATGCTGTAATTAGTCCAACTCAGTCTATACAAGTCCAAATTCATTGATTCCAAAGGCATGCGGTAGCTAAGACATCAAGCTACATTTCATCAGAAGGCCTCAACAACCAAATCCAAAGCAATTCCAGTCAACACAGCCAATTACAGGCGCAGTTCTGCCATCCTGATGAACCCAGAACAGCAATAGTAATTTCGACATTTCTCACTCTACACTACTCCAAATGACCTGAAATTTTACAGGCACCTCAAACACATCAATACCTATAACTTTTATGTTTTAAGCAAAGGCCAATTCACCTCTAACCATATGATACAAAATCGGACAGAAAATGGGGTTATGAAACCCTAACTTCTCACGTTTCCTTCCAAATCCAAAATTGGTTACAATTACCAATCATTTACATCTAATAGAGTCATAAAACATCATTTCCAACCATCATGGACAGCCACAACCTCATGATCAAATTAAACCAGAAAAATCACCATTAAATTGAAAACTTCATCATTTCATCCAAAAGCAAGAAATAAATCACAAAGGTCATCACTTTAGCTTCCACTAAGCACAACTCAAGCTTCATTAAGTGTAGGAGGAAGTTCAAACACCACTTACCTAGAACACAAGAGAGGGAGAGTTGTAGGACACCTTAGCTTCCTTGAACACTTCCACAAAATCACTTACTAGCACCAAATGGAGGGATTTTATGGAGTAGAAACAAATTTAAGCAATTGTTTTGGAGGATTTGAGTTAGTTGGAAGCTTGAAAATTGGAGAAGTTTTCTTTCTTTTCCTAGAGAGAGAGCCGGCCAAGAAGTTGAAGACAAGAATGAATTTTGTGTGATTTTTGAGATATTTAAGCAATTGGTCAAAAAGTCAAGAAAATGAATAGTTGTCCTACAAGTGCCACCATTCACCAAGTGACACTTGTCACTATATTTAAAGCATTTCTATCCTTTAAGTCTCTCTCACATCAATCACATCTCAACCTCTACTTATCTCTTAACACCCGATAAATTTCAACCAGTATCCGAAACTTAACCTAATTGACCGAATTTTTCCGAACTTTTCGCACTAGTGGATCCCACATCCGTTATATATCCTTAGTTTTTCAAAAACTCTCCAATACTAAAAAATCATCTAAAAACATAATTACTCATAAAATTCACCAGAAAAATTTTTCCTAAACCAGAAAATGCAGAAAACATGCCATTAAAGGGGATAAACCCTAAGAAAATTATTAAGAGAAATTTATGGGTTCTCACAACCTGCAACTACAAAGTGAAGAAGGTATACATTGATAATGGCAGTGCCATCGATGTGCTGTACTACAAGACCTTTAAAGAGCTGTAGCTGGAGGACAGACAGCTCATCTCAGTCTGAACTCCATTGATCAGATTTGTTGGTCCTCCGGTGAGGCCGAAGGGAATGATAACTCTCATGGTCATGGTGGGGGTGTCACCAAAGTGTCGAACTGTGCCAGTGAATTTCACGGTGGTAAGAGGGCCCTCATCGTACAATATGATTCTGGGACCACCCACCCTGAACGTCCTCTGGGCTGTCTGCTCCACCTTGCACCTCAGCATGAAATTTCCTACCCCTATTGGGGTAGTTGAAGTGCTCGAAGATCCGGAGGTGGCTAGAGCCTGTTATATTGCAACTCTCAATGGCAAGGAAAAATTGGTAGTTCAAACAACTTGTTTGGAGCCCTGGGAGCCCATGGAGAAAAGAGAGAGACTGGAGACGGATAAGGGGCTGGTTGAGCTGCCCGTCCGCCCAAACCGACCTGAGTGTACGGTTAAGGTCGGCACCTGCCTCAGCGAGTTGACCCAGAACTCTATAGAATCCCTTTTAGAAGAATATGCGAAAATATTTGCTTGAAGTGCTGATGACATGCTTGGAATCCCCACCGAGCTAGCGGTTCACAAGCTATACGTGGACCCCAACGTCCGACCAGTAAAACAGAAATAGAGGAACTTTGCGCCTGAACGAAACGAGGCCGTCAAAAGTGAGGTAGGCAAGCTGTTAGAAACCAAGATCGTGAAAGATGTCTATTACCCGACATGGCTGGCCAATCCGGTGCTGGTCAAGAAGGAAGAAAGAGTTTGGAGGATGTGCGTGGACTTCACTAACTTAAATAAGGTCTGCCCAAAGGACTGCTACCCCCTCCGGCAAATTGATCAGCTTGTGGATTCAACCTCGGAATATGAGATTTTTTATTTTTTGGACGCCTTCAAAGGGTATCATCAAATAACACTGGATGAGGAGAATCAGGAAAAGACCTCGTTTATGACTGAGAACGAAACTGACTGTTATGTCACCATGCCGTTTGGGCTAAAGAATGCAGGCGCGACCTACCAGACGCTGGTCAATAGATTGTTTAAGGATCAGATCGGTCGAAATATGGAGGTCTACGTGGATGACATGTTGGTGAAGAGTCGGACTCAAGAACAGTTCATTGCTAATCTTAGGGAAATCTTCGATGTCCTTCGGAGCTCATGGATGCGGCTAAACCCTAAGAAATGTACCTTTGGGGTTAGGTCGAGAAAATTTTTAGGTTACATGATTTCCAAAGAAGTGGTAAGAGCTAACCTGGACAAAATCAAGGCCATCATAGACATGGCTCCTCATCGAAATGTTAAGAAGGTACAGCGCCTGACTGGAAGGATGGCGGTTTTGGACAGGTTCTTGTCTAAATCAGCAGTTTGGGACTCCCATTTCTTTAAAGCTCTAAGAGGAGGTTCGCAATTCGAGTGGAGATCGGAGTGCCAAAAAGCGTTCGATGAGCTAAAAACCCACCTTACTCGGTTGCCGGCCCTAACTTCTCCAGAGCATGGTGAAACCCTGTTCATCTATTTAACTGTGGGGGAGGAGGCCGTTAGCGCGGTGCTGGTACAAGAGGAAAACAAAGTCCAAAAACCTGTATACTATGTTAGTCGCGCCCTACAGGGGGCCGAAGTGAGGTATTCGACGGTAGAATGATATGTCTTGACATTAGTTCATGCAGTTCGGAAGCTCAGGTCGTGCTTCCAAGCTCATCCCATAATAGTGGTGACGGACCAACCCCTGAAACAGATCCTCTCTAAACCCGATGTCTCG